CACTCCAGCCAAGACGTGCTGCGAGGGTGTTCTGCAACAGCATTCCCGGCGACGGTAATGATAGCCTGGGCGTTTTCAGCAGTGCTCGCATTGTCACATTGAACCGCTGGAAGAAGTGCTAGGGGACTAGGCCCTGTCGCCCGGAGTAGTGGTTGAACGTGAGATGGAACGAGCAGGGTTGTATGGACGACAAAGGTGTTGCTCCGAAAGGCAGCTGGAAAGACTGGCGAAATGGCAGGATCAAGGTCCCTCTGGAGAAAATGCTGGAAGATAGGTGGTAAAGGGTTTGTAACTTGGAGCGTAGGCATTTCATCCCGAGAATCCATTGATGTCATGGTTGGAGAGGATCCTGTCAGGGCAGCCTCAACCAGTGTATCGAATGTGTTGAAGGAAGAAGGTACTACGGGCACAATTTCCAAATTTGAAGTGAGATGCTTAGCCTGAAAAAAAGAAAGGGGTGCATGCAAGGATTAGTACGTGATAATTGACAGGTAATGGGTATTGGCAGATGAGTAGGAGAAGAAGGTAAATAGAATATTATCGGTACGGATACCTCAAGGGGGTCCGGGCAGGATCAGCAATGGCCGCAGCAGGGTTTGGGTCCTCAGCAATGTCAATAACCTGCAGGATGAGCACGCATCAGGGCACATGTAGAGGGTCAACTAAAGGTTAATATGTTTCTGATTTGTGTATTAGATATGTAAGAATTGGTTCATGAGCATAAAGTGATTGTGGTATATATGCAGAGTGAGATAATGTCTAAGCCTGAACTATTTGTGACACCTGATCCAGAATTACCCCTAGCACTTTTGGATCAAAAGGAGGTATGTCTTATAGAAATTTATCTTTCAGTAGCGTGTGACATCATTTAACTCCTTATTTACTTCTTTGACCTATTCGTGAATTAGGCTGGTAAAAAGCTTCTGCTCATTACCAACTCAGATTATCATTACACAGACAAAATGATGCAGCATTCCTTCAACAGATTTCTTCCCAATGATATGGGTTGGCGAGATTTATTTGACATTGTAAGTAAACGTCGTTGTTTACTTATAACTTCATGCCACATTGAATAGTAATTATTTTATTGGACCTCTGCTATAAAAGTCTCTGGATCATTCTTTCCTGGGTGATGCTTAAACCAGCAGCATAATTTTATCACAGACCAGTTTTATTTTGTGTGTGTGTGTTTAACAATCAAAGATTGCCTTGAAACTTAATGATCATTAGAATTGTGACCGCCTCAACAGCAGTGAGTCATGGTTTTTTGGTCTATCACGCTCATTTTCAGGTAGTAGTCACCGCAAGGAAGCCAGAGTTCTTCCAAATATCACACCCTATGTATGAGGTGGTGACAGGAGAGGGCCTCATGCGTCCATGCTTCAAGGCTAAAACAGGTGATGAAGACTAATGTTCAGTACTTGTGCTTGTTTAGCCCTGAAATTCTTGTATTTTTAAGGCAAAATACGGTGAAGTTGTTAATTTCATGTGCTCTGTGCTTGCACTTGCTTTGAATGTCACTTGGTTGCACATTAGCTAAATAATCATGTTTGATAAATGATTGTTATTGTGACAGTAATTAAATAAATTACTAAGTTGTTAAGTTGGTCAAATCTCTGCTGTTTTTGTTCTCAGTCAACATCATTTTTACTTTTCAATATATTAAATTCCTCTGGGCTTTGTATGGATCATATTATTTGATAGTTCTTTACTTTGTTGGCATTGGTTTTATTTAACAATCTCATGCTCATTCAAATTCTTCTTCTTGCAGGAGGATTGTATTCTGGGGGAAGTGCTCAGATGGTTGAGAATTCCCTAAATATTCATGGAGATGAAATACTGTATGTTGGTGATCATATCTACACTGATGTAAGTCAATCCAAAGTTCATCTGCGATGGCGGACGACATTAATTTGTCAAGAATTGGAAGAAGAGGTTTGTGTAGTTGATTTTCTCTTTACATGCAAGAGCACAGAAGAGAAAGTGCAATTAACATGTTTCTGGAAGTTGAGATCTCACTATCTGTAGAAAATATATTTCCTTGTATTAAACAAATTACACAAAGTCCCTATTTATACTGATACATGATATCTACTTAAGGTAGGAAGGAAATAATATAGACATGAATACAATTCGATTTACAGCAAGAAAGGCTAATTGCTAGGAGAAGATTGTGAAGTTGACTTCCGTGTGTGCAAGGAAAGGAAAGATGTGTTAACACGCCACTCGCCAGCGAGCAAACTGGGCATCATAGGATGCACAAGTTTGGAAGATGTATGTTGATGGCGTGGTTTGTGAAAGGCTTTGGTAAACAGGTCCGCAGGTTGGTCGACAGAAGGAAAAAAACAAACTTGATGACTTCCAAGAGCAACCTTTTCACAGACAAAGTGATAGTCCAACTCAATGTGATGTGTGCTGGCATGGAAAACTAGATTGACAGCCATGTACATGGTGCTGAGATTATCACAAAAGAGTTGGACCGGGAACGGAAGACACACACCCAATTCATGAAGAAGAGAGTAGAGCCAAGTGGTTTCGGCACAAGCATGAGAGAGGGCATGATATTCCGATTCTGTACTAGAGTGCGAGATTGTGGGCTATTTCTTGGAACACCATGAGATGAGGTTTGTTCCAAGAGTAATCACATATCTAGTGGTCGACCAATGAGAATCAGGGCACCCAGCCTAGTCCGCATCATAGTAGGCGGAGAGGCGAGCTGCAGCAGTTTGAGGAGTGAAGGTGAGGCTGAGATCAATAGTGCCCTTGATGTACCCAAGTATCCATTTGTCGGCAACAGGGTGAGGGGTGTGAGGGTCACTCATGAACTGAGCAACAATGTTAACGGAAAAAGATATGTCAGGGCGAGTAAGAGTGAAATATTGTAAATTGCCAACAAGCTCGTGATACTAGGTTGGGTTGGAGATGAGAGCACCATCACAAACATAGAGGAGACCCTTGGCAGCCAATGGAGTATATGCGGGTTTGGAATTGAGAAGATTGGCTTTTTGTAAAAGTTCATGTGCATATTTGAGTTGATTGATATGGAAAGTACCATCCTTATGAAGAACCTGTAAACCCAAGAAATATCTAAGCGGACCAAGGTCTTGTTGTCAAAGTGGCCACCTAAAAGAGAGATGAATTGTTAGAGATGAGTGGAATCACTGCCAGTTACCAAGATGCTGTCGACATATAGAAGAAGAAATATGGTATGGGAGGCATGTTGAAAAATAAATAATGAAGTGTCAGCTTGGCTCCGTGTAAAGCCCATAGAGAGAAGGAAACTACTGATGCGATGGAACCAAGCATGAGGTGCTTGTTTAAGGCCATAAAGTTCTTTATGGTGCTTGCAAACATAAGAATGACAAGTGGGATCAATGAAACCAGGGGGTTGAGCCATGTAGACATCTTCTTGAAGAAACCCATGGAGAAAGGAATTTTTGACATTAAGCTGACAAATGGACCAACCATGAGAAACTGCAAGACTGAGAGCAGTGCAAATGGTGGCAGGGTTGACAGCAAGACTGAAGGTTTCAGCATAGTCTATGCCTAGACGTTGATGAAAACCCTTGGCCACTAGACGAGCTTTATAACGTTCAATGGAGCCGTCAGAGTGACACTTAATCTTAAAAACCCATTTGCTACCAAGTTCTGAGAAGGAAAGGAAGGAACCAAAGACCATGTATGATTTTTGAGAAGTGCATTGATCTCTCCAGTCATGGCGTCAAGCCATTCAGGATGCTTAGTGGCCTGTAAAAAATAAGTAGGTTCAGTATGATCAACAATAGTTAATAAGGCACGGGGAAGGGGGTATTTAACAGTGCCTTCGGTGTGAAGCTTGGGCTTTTGAATGCCATCCTGAAGGCGGGTGCACATGCGAGGAATATAAGCAGGAGTGGGAGATTGCACAGTTGCTGGAACTGGGGGGGTTTGAAGCTACGGGAACAAGGGCAGGCGTAAGCGAAGAAAGGTGTATGCGAGGGCATCGGGAATAAGTTTGGAGCTATGGCT